CTTCCTATCCTTTGTAGTTCTTATCAATGTTAATCTCCTTATTCTCCCTCCCAATCCCTGATTTGCCACCAATTTCCACAAGCTCGTCAAGTAGGCTGATCATGACTCTCCACAACTTCCTATCCTTTGTAGCTCTTAGCAATGTTCTGCTATCGTATTCATTACCATAGAGGAGGATTGAGATTACATTGCACTTCTAACATTTCATTGTTTCTAACAAAATTTTCCTATTTCTTAATAATTTCCTTAACTTTTGGAAGGCATCTTTCTCTATTAAAAGAGTCAACAGCCTTTTTTCTCAGGTAAATTATTAAAAATGTCTTCCTGAGAATGAAGCCTGTCAGTCTGGACGAGGACCATACTTCTTGAACTGGCGGAACCGTCATTTAGGATACATATAGGATACAGGTTCGAATCCTGTCGGAGGACGAATGTTTTCTATGAAAATTTCTCGGGCATTCAGGCCGGTAAATGTTGTTTAATATTGTTTATTATGAACAGAGCATTTACTTAAATATTTGTATCTATAAAAAATGTCTTAAATTAAATGTCCGACTTTGTCCATTTCATTATATATATATAATCGTTCTTTTATATATCCTTCTTTGTTTGTATTCAACTTTTACAATCAAAACATACGGGACGCTAAATTACATTGCTTGATCACGTTTTCTGCTAGTTTTAGAGATGTTTCTAAGAATTAAAGTATTTCAATATGACGTAGATTACTGTAGAAATTCCAAATCTCATTTGTGACAATCGATCCGAAGTGAAATTGCTCTATGGACCACTAAAATATTACGGTGAAACCCCAATCTTCTATGTTTATTGTGTGGGCACCCAGTAAATTTACATGGACCCCGCTTGAGAATCAATGTTTTAGGACATTAACGCATTCGAATATCCAATGGATCAGGTAGATATTTAGGTCATTTACAAAAGAAATTACCGTGAAAACTAAAAGGAACTAAAACGCAAGCGGCTACTGAGTGTTAGAGAATGTAATAAAGATATAATGTTAAAGAGAGACGACAATAAACGCATAAGACTTAAGAAGACAGAAGATAACGATTGACATTGTATTCAGATTTTTTTTTAAGTCAAAGTTAACTAGGGAGCAAGACGCCGGAAGAGAATTCCACAAGCGAGATGTGTGATAGAAGAAACTTTCCGCATAGAACTTACGGTTCACTGTGGCCATTTCAACTCTAAAATGACGAGACGTAGCAGCCAATCTAGTACTGCGCTTAAATACACATAAAGTCTATGTACCATAGTGAAAAGAAGAATTAGCATGAAATTATTTAAAGTAAAGGCAAAGGAAAGCTACATTATGGTGGTAGGAAAGTGACTGAAGCCGAGATGCCAATAAGTGAATCTTATGCGAGAGAAGAAACTGTTAGCATAGAACTTACGGTTACATCTAGCCATTTCAACTGTAAAATGATGAGACCTTGCCACCAATCTAGTACTGCACTTAAATTCATAAAGTCTATGTACCATAGGGAAAAGAAGAATTAGCAAGAAATTATTTAAAGTAAAGGCAAAGGAAAGCTACATTATGGTGGTAGGAAAGTGACTGAAGCCGAGATGCCAATAAGTGAATCTTATGTGAGAGAAGAAACTGTTAGCATAGAACTTACGGTTACATCTAGCCATTTCAACTGTAAAATGATGAGACCTTGCCACCAATCTAGTACTGCACTTAAATTCATAAAGTCTATGTACCATAGGGAAAAGAAGAATTAGCATGAAATTATTTAAAGTAAAGGCACAGGAAAGCTACATTATGGTGGTAGGAAAGGACTGAAGCCGAGACGCCAATAAGTGAATCTTATGCAAGAGAAGAAACTGTTAGCATAGAACTTACGGTTACATCTAGCCATTTCAAGTGTAAAATGATGAGACCTTGCCACCAATCTAGTACTGCACTTAAATTCATAAAGTCTATGTAGCATAGTGAAAAGAAGAATTAGCATGAAGTTATTTAAAGGAAAGGCAAAGGAAAGCTACATTATGGTGGTAGGAAAGTGATTGAAGCCGAGATGCCAATAAGTGAATCTTATGTGAGAGAAGAAACTGTTGGCATAGAACTTACGGTTACATCTAGCCATTTCAACTGTAAAAGGATGAGACCTAACTGCCTGAAGAAGGCCGCGGCGTACAAACGTTCTGAATATGGCAATGAAGATGAGGATAACAGTCCGGGCAATGTTAATAATGTAAGTAATCATAATACCTCATCTCAGAGATATAGACAGATATTGAAGAATCTCTAAATATGTAGCAGAAGCACTAGACCAGATGTAGCAGCAATATTCAAAGCATGGACGAATGGTAGACCTATATGTAAGATAGATTCTAGTGGGAAAACCTGTCTGTCTCGAAACAGCGAACCAGCTTTCTTATCTGCAGGCTTAGCAATTGATTCTATATGCTCTTCAAACTTCATATCAGCGGAAAACTTTAGTCCGAGAAGGCGCAGTTTTTCACTCGCCTGGACGTTATCATCGGCCATGTTGATGGAAGGTAATAAAGGCTCTCTCTTATGATTAAAACAGACAGTAGTTTAATTTTTGAGGGGTTAAAATTAACAAGCCATTCCTTGCCCTATTTAACAACAAACTGAGATCAGTTGCTAATTTAACATCATCAATCTGATTAGACTTACTATTAAAACAGGAGTAAACAGTTGTGTCAACAACATAGAAACTGAACCGAGAACTAATGTTCTACTGTTTTTTTTGGGGGGAGGGATTTTTTATAAAAAAAATACATTATTTGTTTTTCGATTTCATTTTTATAAAAATCCGTTCTTTTCCTCATGTAGAAATAACTTGTTTTCTAATGCTTCATGAATGAATTACAGATTTTTTTTTGAAAACCGGAGGCAAGCCTGGTTTCAATCTATCAAATAATAATCCTGTTGGCGTCTCCATCCGTTAGTTCACACGACCGTTACGCCCTGTCAATATCTCATGAATAATGGACTGTCCTGTTTTGATCGCGTGGAAAAACAAAAGATATATAAGAGACGCTACGTTGTTTCAATGAAAAAAAAAGAAAGAAAGAAAGAAGTTTGGTTGGTTGTGTGGTTGTTTTTTTTATGGCATATCAAAACCTCAGTGGGTCATTTAATGCCATCAAATTTTTTTTAAATATAGCGATAATTTGGTAAAAAAAGGTGTGTATGTATACATATATAGTTGAACCATTTTTCAATTACTTATATTTTTGAGTACATCACATGTATTGCTGGTAATTTTCTTTTTTTTTTTCAAAAACGTATTGCTGGTAAGAGTTTTTTTTTTCAAAAATTAATTTCTGGTAATAATTTTTTTCAAATATTTCTGATATTAAAATCCATTTTTACACTCCCCATAATGCTCTTTACCTCAGTTTCAGTGTTAACCATTTGCCCACAGCTGGGACCCTAACAGGTGTCACCACCCCGGGCCAGAGCGGACCTGGGAACACCAGCAACTAAGAGGCGGCTCCACGCTCCTCAAAATCTCCCTATCAGAGGCCCTGCTACCGGACGTAGTTCACTATCTTACCCCGGACGCGGATGAAGTTTATCGTCATGTTGGGACGCTCCACTGGGGGGGGGGTCTTACCCCACTGCAGAGGTGCAGTCAGTCGACAGGACGGAGAAAGAAGTTTTTTAACGTCTCCTGCTAATACTACATAAATAAGGGACTATTCCGTTTTGATCGTGTGGGAAGACAAAAGCATATCAAAGATGCTACTTGGTTTCAGTAAGAAAATGAATGGAAGAAAGGAAGATAGAAATGTTTAACGTCTGTTTTCAGTGAAAAGTTGATAATTTCAAATCGTTTCATGTGTACCCCCTTACTTCTTAAAATAACGACCGGCATTCATATTTATGGTTGTTATTAGAATATTTTGTTAAAGTTGTTAAGCTGAAATATTTAACGATGAGATAGGGTAATTTCTATGGATATTTTATTGTATAACTCGCCTTATTCAAAGATTTCAAATAGGAAAACCGTGACATTTTCACGGGTTCAAACTAGTTTTTAATAATATTCTTTTTGGTTTCTGGTGTTGGCAAAAACTGTTCGTATGTATAGATCTGAACATTTTCAGCCATCATAGTTATTTACAAGAATATGGTTTCCAATTTAAAAAAAAAAAACAACATTCAAGCGCTTGCTTTTTCATCATGGCGTTTTGGGTGTACAAGTTCAGTAATTGTCAATATTCTTGGCAGTGCTTGCTTGGGGCGCTGAAACTCTCAAAGGTTCTGCAGATGTTCCGAGACATAGTGTAGGAGTGCAATAATTTTAACAGCTCCATAATATTTCATGTTGGTAACGTAACGGTTATATGCGCCAAAATTGTAATCGACGAAATGGGTTCAAATTGTGGTCCAGTCAAAATGCGTTCCGAGCTGAAGTTGGTTGGTTAGCTGTTCCAACCTCTATGGGTTTAATGTTGAACTCTATATATTTTTTTTTTGAGATAATAATTCTTTTTTTTTTGAGATAATAATGTTTTTTTTTTCTTTTTTTTTTTCGATAATAATGTTTTTTTTCATTTTCTTTTTTTGAGAGATAATATTTAAAAAAAAATTCTTTTGGAGATAATAATTTTTTTTCTATTTATTTTTTTGAGATAATAATGTTTTTTTTTCTTTTTTTTGGAGATAATTTTTTTTAGATAATAATGGTTTTAGTGATACAGGTCTTACTAACTAACACATAGCTGGGGGAAGAAGAGTTGGAATAATACCTTTCTCAAAGGTATTTGTGTGTAAGCGACTAAAACGAACCCAACTGGTACTGAAACTCGTTTTTCCGATTTACAATTTCGACTCATTATCCATTACACCACTGTTAGATACAAGCTTACAGAACCTGGCATTCATGAGTGGTCACATATTAAGATACTAACCAGGTTCGACGTTGCTTAACTTCGGTGATCGTGAGGGAACTGGAGTTTCAAAGCGACGTGGCCGTAATCCCTGCGAGCCAAAGTCCGACGTGATAACCGCAGATTGCCCTTTTCCACCGCGGATTGGCCTTTTCCACCGCAGATTGCCCTTTACCACCGCGGATTGGCCTTTTCCACCGCAGATTGGCCTTTTCCACCGCGGATTGGCCTTTTCCACCGCAGATTGCCCTTTTCCACCGCGGATTGGCCTTTTCCACCGCAGATTGCCCTTTTCCACCGCAGATTGCTTCCGGTGATGAACACGTGGCATTAATTAACTTGAATTAAGCTGCTTCATTAACCATTTTAACACAGGCGATGTCAGCTAGCATAAATGTCCGAAAACAGGTCTTGGAAAAGAAGAGGTGAAGAACTATTAATTCAGGTGAAATCATTCACTTCTATACCAAGTCTTTATCTATATGCTTGTGTATTGCAAATGGCCTTCTTGTATGTGTCATTTTAAGACATAGTTAATTATGGATCACCACAAACTTCCAATGCTTTGTAACTCTTAGCAGTATTTGTCTCTTTACTATCCCTCCCAGTCCTTCATCCATTTACTCACGCTCGTTAAGTAGGTTGACCATAGCTCTCCACAACTTCCTATCTTTTGTAGCTCTTAACAATATTTGTGTCCTTACTATCTTTCCAAATCACCGCCGTCAGCCATTTACACAATCTCGTTAACTAGGCTTACCGCAAAATCCCATTCTTTATAGGTCTCAGCAATGTTTGTCTATTTAATATCACCCATATATATATATATATATATATATATATATATATATATATATACGATAATAATAATGGATAAGAACGAATCAAGGTAAACCGCCAGAAAACCCACACAAGTGATTTGATTAAAGTGGTGAAGGCTTGTGCAGAACCATCCACACTTTTCGGAACAATTGATACACTTAGTCGGTGCAAATAAATGCCACAGATGAAGCAGACAATATATCTCAGGCTTTTCGTGTAAGAGTTTTCCATCCCCTAGACCAATCGTGTTCTATAACACTAAAGAGCTTGTTCACCCCTGGTAGACACTATGTGTTCATAGTTGGGACCCTAACAGGTGCTACCACCCCGGGTCAGGGCGGACCTGGGAACAACAGCAAAGATGAAAATAACACTGACATTCTATTTTAACAGATATATTTACATAAAAATATTTTGAAATGGTAAAGAATAAATTTATTCAATAAAATCATCATTGGCTTCAACTACGGCCTCCTAAAACTCTTCTGGACGGTCTCCTTGTTGAAGTTGATGAATACGGCCATGATCCTGGCCTTCCTTTCATCTTTAGTGTTACAAGAAGTTTTGTTAGTGCTCAACTGCGGCTCACACATAATAATCAAAGGGATTGCAATCTGAGGAATTAGGTTGCCAAATGTCAGGGGTGATGGGGTCGAAGATATAAAAAAAAGGGGACGCTGTATTCTGCCCATTAGACAAAATCAAGAAGCTCTCTCGCTAAGGGAATGGCAAAGGGGAAACATATACGGACATGGGAAATAAAAAGCTGACCCAGTCGAGATAAAAAGGCGGGGCCAAAACAAACTGGGGAGGTTTGGAATCTCAACTTGGATCATAACCAAAGATGCAGCCGGGAACAGGCCAGGAACAACACTCATTAACTAAGTACACAAAGCTTGTCGAAACTAAACAAGGGGAGGGCTCCACCACCCCGATGTGACGTAGGTTGACCTAAAAGAGAAAATCAAGGCTAGCCTAGTTCAAACGAACCAAGCTCGCCTCAGTCACCCACCTTTCTCTGAAGACTGTCGATTGCAAGCGTTTTCTATCTGTTCTAATCTTCGTCTTGAGCTGATGCTCAAAGAATCGGATCAGATCCTGATGAGAAAGACGTTTGCCTCGCAAGATTTCCTCCTGTCGCGTCGTCCAAATCATCATTCGGGCCGTGGTTAGCAGCGTCAGAAACACTATTCGTTTCACCCCGGAATACGGGGGCAACGCATTTTCATACGCGTAATGCGCGATCAATGAGCACAAGCTGATTGAACGCTGATACGATAAGTATATTTTGCCTGGATGTATTCATCTAAACAAGTGTTGCTTAAAAAAAAAGCTCTGTCTGTTTGATTTTTATTATATTTTTCCAACTTTCAGATAAAATACAAGAGAAGTTCAAGCCGATGTGGAGTCTGTGTGGTAGTGTTTTAACTCCTTTGTCTTCAATTTGATATGCATAAGGACGCCGGACGATTGAGATAGTCAAACGTGACGTCATGTATAACGGCTATTGAAAACGAGGCTGCACAAAAATAATAATGACTGGAAAATCGAAAGTACTTGAAACAAAATAACAAATTATGATCTTGGGGCAGTTTATCCACATCTTCTAATGGTTCATTTTAATCAAACTTAATTGTATATATATATATATATATATATTAGATATTTTTAAGTAACAATTATGCATCCTATTTCCTTGGTTCTTGAAAATAACTGATATGGCCGAAAGTATTTGAAGGAAACAATAGCACAATATGAACTTCGAAGAGCATATAAACAAATATACCTTGTCAGTTCTTTTTAATCAAAACTCTTTGCATATATATATATATATATGTGTGTGTGTGTGTGTGTGTGTGTGTGTGTGTGTGTGTTTGTGAGTGAGTGTGTGTGTGTGTGTGTGTGTGTGTGAAAGTGGACACTGAAATTAACATCAAGTCGCGGCAGCTTGTTTCATGCTTAAACAGAATCTTCAGGCCATCAAGATTACGCTGAAGCATCAAACAGAGGTTGTTGACCTCAGTGTCCACTTTTATATTTACATATGCTCTATCTTTCATATTCAGCACTTGTAGGTATAAATATAGCATAAAACTATATATTTATCATATATATATTTATATATATATATATATAGCAATAAAATCAGCAGGTGGAAAATACACACGCACACACACACACACACACACACACATATATATATATATATATATATATATATATATATATATATATTGTGTGTATTTTAATTGTTAATTTAATAATTGTAATGGATTGTATTATAACTGATAAAAGAAGCCATTAGTTTATACCAACGGCTTGCCATACTTAACACTTCTCGTTTCACTCTCGCGTCGTCATGTTTGATTTCATGAGCCGCGGTGCGATTTTCGCTTCCACCGTCTCGTATGCACAAGTTTGTCGTTGCTTGGAAATCTTCCGTGCAAATAAAAACAGATTATCATTATTGTTATATCTGTGTATTTTTTAATGTATTGTAATGTAATTGTCATCTTTGGTAATGGCTTATGTAAGCCGAAAGATTAGATAGGATAAAAAATATGTATCAATATTGTGATTTTCTTTCTTCTTTCAATGATAACGTTATTAAACTTATCAGACAATATGAAGAGAATTTACATAAAATAAATAGACAAAACTTGTCTATATTATTTAATGAAACATGCATATATATATATATATATATATATATATATATATATATATATATAAACAAAATGTGTAAAAAAACTAAGTTGTCTATACGGTCTTATTTCAATGAGAATCTATCATGAACAGTGTTCGGTCATTGCAGTGATAATGACAGTGTGCTGTTGAAATGGTCACCATATTCACCTGACTTGACACCTTGTGATTTTTTCTATGGGGCTATGTGAAAAGACAGGTATATATACTCCCTCTTTCGACAAGCCTAAAGAAGCTTAAGCAGAGAATCATTGAGGTGCTGGAGAATGTTACGCAAGACATGTATATATATATATATATATATATATATATATATATATATATATATATATAAGTGAACATTGATGACAACACTCAGAGGCGACAGGCTGTTACATGCTAGACGCAATCGTCAGATCGCCAGTGTTGTTTTTTTTCTCGACTATTTATATATATGTGTCAGTGGTGCATTGTGGGTCGTCCATTCTCACGGTTATTTTGGCGGGAGTGGTTTGTTTATTTGTGTTAATCTATCTAACTTGTTTTTATTTTTATATATTTATTTATTCTTTTCGGCTTTCGATGTTTTATTGAAGTAGTAAAAAAGTTTTTGAGATTTGTTTAGGTCATTTATTTAATAGTTTGTTTTGTCCTGGGAAGATAATTAAAGCTGTTTTTTCGTCCAATTTTTGGATTGATTGCTGTAGTATAGTCTAACTGTTATTTTGGCGGTCGGGGGGAAGTTTTTAATTTGTTTATTATTTGAATTATTTATTTGGATTGACTACTTTTACTTGTTTTTGCTTATTTATTTTCTTTTCTTTTTGTTGTTCTAACTGTTATTTTAGGGACCGGTTTGTTAATTTGTTTAATATTTACTTTAATTATTTATTTCGATTGATTATTTTTACTTATTTTTTTAATTTATTTTCTATTTTTATTTATTCTATTTCGTCTATTTTAACAGGAGTGGTTTGTTAATTTGTTTATTATTTACTTGGGTTAATTTATTTTACTTGTTTTTTATTATTGTTTTTGTTTATTTTTATTTATTCTTTTCAGTTTTCGATTTTTAAGTAACGTAGTAAAAATTTGTTTTCATGTCTGTATTTTGAGATGAACTCAGATCATTTATTTAGTAATTTATTTGGTCCGGGAAGGTAATCATAGCAAAGTTTGCAGGTTTTGGATTGATTGTTGTAGGCTGATGATCTTTTCTTTATTTACCATGATATTTTTGGTGTGATTTGCGTTTTGCTTTTAATTTCCGAGATATATTTAGAAGGCATTAAGCTGTTCGCGTATTTACTATTTGTGAAAGATGTTTTGTGTGCATAGTTTCTTTGTTTCCAGGGTCCTTCAGTTACTCCTATGTATACTTTTTCTTCATTATCCAGTGATTTATCCGTGGCTTGTTATATTACGTGATATTCTGTGATGACTCGAAAATATGGATTAATTCGGACAAAATGGTTAAATAAGGAACAAGAAGGAAATCTTTTATAAATTTGACATGTTTAGGTATCTATTTTAGAAATAGTGAAACATGACAAATTCATAAATATTTTCTTTTTACTTGTTCTTTAGTTAATAATATTCTGGGATCTTAATTGTTGTCAATGCAATCAGTTCTAGAAATCTAAGAGGAGTGATTCTATTATTTCTCAAATAAGTCATAACAATTCACAGTTTTAAAGAAAAGAAACTATAGAGAGCAATGACTAATTAGAGACAAGCATTAAAACCTACACTAGGTTATTAATTATGCTTATCTCATTTATAACTATTCGTCTGCATCTTTAAAAAACAT